GCCCTGCGGGACCTCACTGCCCACACCCTTCCAGGTCGATACCGACCCATCCACCACCACTCTCTGGGTGTGACCCTCCAGCCAATTCGCCACCCACCGGACTGTGTAGTCATCCAAGTCACAGCCTCTTAACTTGTTCACCAGTATGGGGTGGGATACCGTATCGAAGGCCTTCCTGAAGTCTAAGTATACGACACCCACCCCTCCTCCTGTGTCCAGGCGTTTCATAACCTGGTCATAAAAAGAGACTAGATTGGTCAGGCACAAACTGCCTGCCACGAACCCGTGCTGGTTTCCCCTCAGCATAATTTGTCCTGCTGGGCTCTCGCAAATGTGAGCCTTGATAATTTTTTCAAAGACTTTGCCAAGGATGGACGTGAGACTGACTGTCATATAGTTGCCCGGGTCCTCCTTCCTCCCCTTCTTGAAAATGGGGACCACGTTGGCCCTTTTCCAGTCCTCCGGGGTTTGGCCTGTGCACCACGAGCGTTCAAATATTCCCGCCAGTGGCTCTGCAATGACGTCGGCCAGTGCCTTCATCACCCTCGGATGGAGCTCATCCGGGCCTGCCGACTTAAAGGCATCCAGTTCTTCCAAGTGACTCTGCACCATCTCAGGGTCTACGCATGGAAGTCTGGCGCCTTGCTGCTGCCTCTCTACAACCCCAGTGAGAGACTTGTCCCCAATCATCAAACAGCACTGGTCCTAACAAAGATCCCTAAGATCCCCTATTTACTTCTTTCCATCCTGAAAACTGACCATTTATACTCATTCCTTGTTTTCTATCTCCTAATCCAATTTCTACTCCATGACTATCACCTCTCTAACTTTACAAGCCTCTGATGGGAGATCTTGTCAAAGGCTTTTTTGCAAGTCCAGCTATAATATGTCAACTGGATCTCCCCAATCCATCTGCTTATTGACACCCTTAAAGAACTAGTAAGTTGGTGAGGTATGATTTCACTTTGACAAAGCCATGTTGTTTCATCCCCAGGAAGTCATGTTCATTCATGTGCTGAACAATGTATTATTATTTCTAACCACTTTTCCAGGAACTAGAGAGGAACCACTTTTTCCATGAAGTAGAGAGTTTATGTGTACTAGCTTATTTTTAAACAATAGTTTTGGGATCCTGCATTAAAAATATCATTGGCCAGAGAGGATGTTGTAAAGAGTATTATATGCAGAGAGTTCATTTAGATTAGAACATTTCTTATGTTCAGGCTTTCCAGTACAAAAGGAATCCTGTCTCTGAATACTCTCTCTGTACAGCCCTGTTTAAGCCCCACAAAGTCAATGAGCTATCTCCCTGCATTTTCCATGTCAACTCTTGTCTGTACCATCCTATTCAAATCCAGCTCTTCATTGAAACCCCGCCTGAGTCACTCATGCCCCATGTTCATTGCTGAATACAAAACACAGAAATAACAGCTGCTGACATGAAGCAAAGTTTTCAGCTTACCTAAAACACTCTGTTTTTCTCTTTTAAAATTCTGGTTTTGATAGAAATTGGCCCCAAACAAATTTTCCAGAAAGTCGGAAGTCATTTAGACTTGGCAGTTGGAGGTTTTACTGCTGACAACAGTGGTGAAAATTTTACAGTGCAACTGAAGGGAACCCTTGGGATCTGCTCTCTCAGAGCATATCCACAGAGCATATTGTGCTTGAGGCAAAATTCCCAGCTTCAAGATGCGCTCACCAGAAACCGAGGCAAATTTTTTTTTTTACTTGGATTTAACAAAGTATAAATGAGCTCAGTGTGTCCCAGGTAATTCCTTGTGGCCTCAACAAGCCAGCATTTTTCAAAAAAATCCACTTCTAATTTCCTGTATTAGCAATGCAAATACATTGAAGGAGACGATCCCCCCAGTCTTCTCATATCCTATAAATCACACATGCCTCCTTTCTCCCAATATCTACCAATTCTCCCAATATCTACATACCTACCCATCCATGAACACAACAGCACTGTCCCATGCAAACATGGCAGAGAAAAACACTCATACCACACACCTCCACTCCCCTTAAACATATGTCCTAATAATCTTGTGGAGGATTGGAAGGTGAGGAGCCCAGAAAAATATTGGCAAATGTCTATGAAGCTTCAGTTTCTTTGGGGAAAAAATAACCTGATCCTAAACCAGTTAAAGAGAGAGAGAGAGAGAGAGAGAGAGAGATTTTTACTGCAAATTATTTTCAGCCCCTGATATACCAGTGGTTTTTCAGTGTTTCTAGATTAAAACCTTGTTACACTCTGAAGGCACCCATAAGAAAATACCAGCTGTTAACTTTCATTCATTTTCTGGCTACAGAAAAACAATGTAGCAATTCTTCTGTTCCAAAATACTCACAAAGACATCATAGAAGTTCAAAATGTTTTTGACACTACAGGTTCCTAGTTGAAATCTTTGGCTTTATCTTGTGTAGGGATTTGTATACCTAATAATGCTAATATTGTATGGCATTTTTAAAAGGATCTCAGATCACCCCGGGGTGCTGTGCTACCCTAGATGAAAGTCACTGGTACATGCAAATAAAATAATGTACAGAAAATATGACTCTAAAAACGCAGCTGCATACATAGTGATGCAAACAGAATTGTATATGCGAGCAGAAACACAACAGCAATAAACCATACTACTACAAGCATCATTTTGCCACACAGAACTAAAACTCCATTCATATTCCTACTAGATAAATGCCATGTTAATCACCCTCCCCCCACAAGAATATGCAGTAAAGACACAGACCAAGAGGGAGAAGATATACACTACACCCAAGTGAATCATACACAGGAACCAGATAGAGACAGACTCCCAGCTGGTGTAAAGTGGCCATAGCTCCGCTGGAGTCTGTTGTAAATTGCTGCAATTCCACTCACTTCAGCAGTTACTGCTCTCATTTATCCCAGCTGAGATTCTGGCCACTAGGTTCTGATCATCTTTAAGACACATGATTAAATAATTCTCCCCAGCAGTGCTAGTGCAAATGCTGATATTCTGCAGATTTAGGAAACAATGAATGCATTTTTTAATGTTCCCAACCAAATTCCTACTTGATTTAGTGGCATTTATTTCCATGCAGGTATCTCAGCGCAGTTCCCAGACTGCCATGTATTCACTTGCTTATATATATGTTTTTGGTGACCAGGAGAGAATTATCCCCAAAGAACTTCTGTTGCAATGTTGCTAAGCAACCCATGTTCCCTTAATAACAATATTATTTCTTTGTTATCTTTCCAATAACAAGGACAGAAGCCAGCCAGTTTCACAAAGGGTTTCAGGGTCTCTCTCAAACAGAGAGAGACACAATGATCGTCATGAACATATGAGGAGGAAAAAACAATGTGGGGGGGGGGGCGGTGCATGCATTCCAGTGGTTGTCAACATTTTTAGACTTATGATTTACATGTACATTGATGAATATGTTTAGTCAGTGGGATCTTGAAGCTAACAAGTTACTTAATGTTTCAATAAAGCTGCAGAGAGAAATGGTGTGAGGCCAGGATTTCTTAGGGTGATATCTTTTATTGGACCAACTGTACAACTGTATAGTTGGGATACAATTGGAGAAGCTTTTGAATGCAAAGCATTCTTCAGAGGTCTGACCAGAACAAGTCAAGTACAAAATAATAATAGAAAAAAGTTGTAGGAGAAGTTGAGAGAAATTACAGTGGTAGCAGAGACAGAATTAGCAGAAGAAAAGAAGCTGATTACTGGGAGATCAAGGCCTCTCAAAAGAAAGGATAGTCATTCTTACCTTTCATGTATGGAAAGAATTGAGGACTCAGCTATATTAAAATGAGAGAAATAGTGTCACCCTGATCCCTGCAAAGTTGCTTTGTAGCGTGTGCACTGAGAAGTAATGCCACTCTTTATTAGGAATATAGGAACACTTGGATAGAAGGAAACTGGCTCGCTAAATCTTGCCAAGGCAGAAAACCATGTCGTATAAACCCATGAATACAATTATCATGAAAAAAAGTTCCAAGAACAAAACTTGGATGTGCCACAATAATGAATTGTGGTAATTTTTTACTTTGCATGACTCCGTTTGGTGTCATGGGCCAGCTTTCACACATGGTTAAGCAATGGTCTTTCTAACTCTGTCCTTCTTTTTGAATTCTTCACTCACTTTCATGCTGAATGAGAGATGTTCCTATTTTTTCTTCTTCTTAACTCTGAGCCCTCTCTCATAGCCCTGAGAGAAGTCAGTTGTCCAAGGGTGGCTATGTTTCCCTTTTCCCATGGAACTGATGCAATGACAACTGAAACAGTGGAAAATAAGGAGGGAAAAGCACTCTCATAGACTTCAACAGCCACTGGAACAGGCACAATTTGAGTAATTGACTCTAACAGGGTTTATTTGTAGCCTGCAGAACAGTATCAGGGATGGATCATAGTACTTGGATGCCTTTCCTTGCTACTTTAGAATTTTATGTTGAAATTTAACACTTACTGGGTTGAAAAGTCCAGTCTATATTCTATAAGAGAGAAGACAAGGAGGTTAATAGGAATAAGGCTTCCAAGACGGTAGGATTTGGAATTAACTCTGTTAGGTCACTTTGAAAATGCCAGCCTACATCTGGAAATGTAGGACATAAAACAAGAAATGCTGATGATAAAATTCAGATCTTCATATTTGGTGCAGACATGATAGGTCTGTAGCAAAACCCCCAGTTTTTCTTTTTTTCTTTTCTTTTTAAATGCATTCCCTCCCCTTCCCCAACCATTTCTGACTTCTCTCTCCCTGTCTATTCCCTATAGATAAGTATAAGTGAGCTCAGATAAGCTTTAAACATTTTTATTTTGGTAGTAAGTTTTTGGATATCCACTGTTTTATATCATATAATTACTAGGTTTGTATTAATTTTTACTGTTGCATATTTTATTATTATAATTTTTGTATTGATTTTTATTGTTTCATATGGATATTGTATGTTTTTGGTTAACTTACAAACACAGGCCTAAGTCATGTCAAGTTGACATTTTATATGTCAAGCCTCCATCTTGTGTCCTATGCCTGGGCATTCCATGTCTCAACAATATGATTCATTGTACCCCTCACATGTAAATTGGTTCCCCGATGAATAAGAGTGATTGGGAATGATTGAAATACAATGGTAGCAGGCCTCTATTGAATGGCCTGTAATGACTGGGCCATCACCTTGCATTGATTCACCCAGGACCCATGGACCTCACCCAGGAACAGAGACAAGACCAGCCTTTGAAAAACAAAAGACCCTGCAGAACCAGCAACTGTCACTATTACAGACACCTGAAACTGCACATCCCTGCATGGAGCACACATGCTCAGTATGCCAGGGGCTGACCCTTGCCTGGGCATGCCTCCTGTCACTAGGGTCACACACAGTCTGCCCCTATAAAAAGGGGCAGTGAAGACAGACCCAGTGGGAACGCCATTTCCATCCAGACCAGACCAATTTCACGTCACCTATCCACCCCAGAGGCCCTGCCGGCAACCCCCTCTGGACAACACCTAACTAACCCCTGCTGCCATTGTGTGTGTGTGTGTGTGTGTGTGTGTGTGTGTGATATGTGTGCGCGCGCAAGGGAACCAATTTGGCATTGTGTCACCATCTCCCCTGTTCAATAAAACTACTGTCATTTGCAACCCCGAGCTGGGTCATGTTTTACTGAATCCCAGTTCCTTCCCTATCTTAAATTCCAGCCTCATTTGCTCTCTCTCTCAGCTCCAGTCCCCACCCTCTCTGCTACTTTCCTGATCTCCTCCCAGTTCCATCTCCCCTTTTCTGCCACCTCTCAGCCTCTCCTTGCTTTCCTGCTGTCCCTGCTGCCTGCTGCTTTTCCTGCAATTTTCTACTGTCCCTCTTTGTTTTCTGGCTTCCCCCTGCACCTTCTGTAATCCTCCCCCCGCAGCTTCTCAGCTCCTCTTAGCTGTCCTGCAGCTTTCTCTGGCTTCCAGCACCTACTGCTGCTCCCTGCAACTTCTCTAGCTGCCCCGGAGCCATCCTCTGGCTCCCCACACCCAGAGCCCCTCTTTAACACTCACACTTTCCCTTAGTCCCATTTTCCCCTCTCCCCACCTACCTTTTAAGCTCCCCCGTAGCTCTGGCTGCAGTCCCAGACTCTGTGCCAGCATGCTTCTCTGGCAGGCTTTGGGCCTTGCCTTTTAGTCAATTAAGATCAATTAACCTAAAGTTACCCCTAAGCCTCAGTTCTTCAGCCCAGGCCCCTCTAGTCTACCAGTTCTAATCCCGGTCCTGGTAACTTTCACTCCCTACTCTTCTACTTTCTTACCTTAACCTTTCCCCAGGTATCCCAAGTACATCAAGCACATACATACATACATATCACAATACGCAACTTAGGAACTCACTTGTGTGTATGTGGGTGTTATGTGTGTAAATTAGTGAATACACACACTATATATATAGATATATAGATAGATATCATTGTGTGTGTGTGTGTGTGTGTGTGTGGTATATGAATTAGTAATCCACGTATGTGTACTCGATGTGCAGGTGTTGGTAACTGGTAACTGATTCTGTCTAAGTTTGGTGCGTGTAGCGTGTATGGGCTTAAACTGGTGATAGGTGTGCATGAACCTAGACTAATTATTTTGAACATGTATGTGCCTGAGCTGCTAGTGTGAGTGTGTATGCCTAGTAGGGGTGTATGCACCTAGTGAGTGTATGTGTGCTTAATTGATTTTTATGTGTGCATGTGCAATTGTATACCACACCCTCCTGTCTAACAGTGCAATATTGAGATCCTGAGCATTGACCTGACCCCTCAGGGTAACAGGTCTACTCTGGAGGAATTTACACTGGAGTAACCTTACTCTTGAATTATGGAGAATATATGATCAGAGGCTAATAGTTTGCCCCAAGTAGACCACAAAAAGTTTGTGATTACTTTAGCATCTTTCCACTAGATACCAGCTGAGGTGCTTTCCTAGTGTGACTTACAGTTGAGGTATTCTGGCACTCTTGGGGCAATTGTTGCAGTGCTCACTGGAAGTTAAAGATTGAATCCTCTGGTCTTCCTGGCTGCTTTCTTCGGCTGAACAGTTTCCAGGCAGAAGACACTGATGGATCTTCTCTTGGTATAGTGAACCAGGGCTACATCCCCAGAGATCTGTATGGATCTCTTCTCCAAACTATGGAAGCAAATCAACGCCATGCAGGCTCCTTTTACTTTGGAGAAACAGCCTCTTATTACCATTTGAAAACTGACAAACAGTAGTTGCTCCATCCCTGGCATAAAAAAAGAATTAAAAAAAATCAACTGTTATCAAGGCTGCGGAGACAGTGGACATTGCCATGAAGGAGTTGTTACATCAAGATTGACAGAAACCATGGAACATTTCTTTGACATGGGGTTCCCTAACTGCATGGGGGCTGTCAACAGGATACATATCCCTATGTTGTGCTATCCCCATCTGAGTACACTAACAAAAAGGCTTCTTCTTTGTAGTGACCACCAAGAAAAGTTCATGCATGTCTATGTCACAGTCAAATGGTATGGGAAGGCACGTAATACTGGGGTATAGAAAAACTATAGCCTTTTGCACTACAAGAAGAAGGTGAGCATTTGCTCAGGGAGCACCTTCCATCAAGATGAGTGGTATCAACATACCTCCTCTGATTTTTGGTGTCCCTGATTACCCACTTGTTCCATGGCTGGTGAAACCAGACAGAGCATTTGGATCACTGAAAGGAAGGGTCTAATCCAATTCAACCTAGGTCAAGTCCCTGAAAGACTGAATGCAATATTTGGAGGGCTGGTTTATCAAGGGACTTGACCAGAGTGCAACAGGATCACACTAACACTCATTAGCTCCCTTACCCACTCATTAGCTGGTATAGAATCTGGCCTGAAGTCATCAATTATTGCTTCAGTAGCTGCTTTATGGTAACGA